TTATGATTGGATTACAGCAGGAGAAGAAATTGCAAATGTTCATGCAGTAATCAAATCCCATATAAATAATCTTACAAGTATTCTTCCCTGTCTTATTAAGTCTTCTGTCTTACGAAACAAATTTCATGTACAATGGCAAAATCTTTATAAACAAACGAAAAAATTGTTAAAAGATATCGATCTACTTGATAATATCAATAATACATAAAAAGAGCGAATATATAGACAAGATTGTTGAGCTGTATTGTCAAGTACTCTTAGCCGAAATTGCCACTTCCTGCTAAGAATACTGGCGATATTTATTTTTACTTATGCAATAGTAGTAGCCAAGTTTAATTTTACTTTCGAACTTGCACCTGGATTTGCATATATCCAGATCGATTCTTCTGGCCAAACTAGTCCAGAGCTAATGATCACTACCGCAAATTTCTGTACGTGATATTCTATTGTACCTATAAAATGCAAGATGATATTAAAACTAAAGCTTTGGCATATGCCCAAAAGCGTGAAGGAAGATGCTTAGCTAAAGTTAGTCCTAATACATATTTATGGGCATGTAAAAAAGGCCATCAATGGGAGGCACCATATAAAAATATGAAACAGAATTATAGATGGTGCAATATTTGTCCTAATGTACCAGAAAGAACATGCCGGTATATATTTGAGGATTTATTGCATAAAAAATTTCCTCTCCGAAAACCTAAATTCTTGGAGGGATTACATCTAGATGGATATAATGAAGAGCTAGGCTTGGCTTTTGAATATAGCGGTAATCAGCACTATCAAATCGTCCCTTTTTTTCACCTGCAAGGGCAGATGGATCTAGATGCACAAATCTGGCGTGATTGGAAAAAGAAAGTGTTATGCTATCGGAAAGGAGTAATCCTTATTACAATCCCTTACTGTGTAGTAGACTTAGAAACTTTTATAAAGAGCGCCTTGTACGCATTCGGTTATCTCCCAATACCCACCTAGGAGGTAACATGGGCTCTTCCTTAATATGCATCAATTGTTCTCTCACGAAAGGGCGTTGGGGTCCTGATTCATCTAAATAATATAAAATAGGCATTGGAGGATTCTTTCCAACAACAATTTTCCGAATCTTATGCAGGCTGGGAGACCATATCGGATCTGTTATTCTGCGTCGTTCGAAAGGATCGTTTTCCCACTCTCCAGGAGCGAGCAAAAATCGGATAGTAGTACCCTTTGGTAGTTGTGGTTCATCAACACCTATTGAGCGATTATATTTTACTGATGGTTTGGAATATATCTGCTCAAGTTTTGTGGCGTCATTAGGACTCATCCCAATCAATCGAGTTGGGCTATCATTCATATTATCAACAATTTTTCTTGCAAACCGCTCACATTCTCTACAGCGCTTGCCAGTAGGTAGGAGAAACTCTATTGAATACTGATTTTTAAAAACTCTATATTCGAATAATCCAGCATAACGATCGATCATTGCGAAACTTGTATGCCTGAAACGTGCTATAATTCTTCGGATCTCAACGCCATGTTCATCCATTAATAAAGTCACGTATCCCATAAACTCAGTGCCCTTATCACATTGCAATTTTCGAGGCCAGTTAAGAGGTTTATCAGGATTATCATATATACTCTTAAATGCTTCCGCAACTTCCTCACTGCTTTTTGATGTTAAAAAAATGAAATCTTTATATCTAGTCGCGCAGTCTATAACCAATAGTACATAGTAATATATTGGGCCATCATTATCTAGTAAATTTGTATCCAAATTTTCATCATATGGTATTTTGATTAAATCACATTGGTGTACAGTATTTGGCTTCGTGATTTTAGAGTAACTGGCATAAGGTATATGCTTTGGTGAAGGACGAAAAATTTGATACATTGCTTGGCCCTCAAGCCATTTTTTTACATTAATAAATAGAAAGCTGTAGCCGGCTTTTTTACAAGCATCCCACAATCCCTTAACATTTTGATACAGACCTTCAGGACAATAATATAGTTTTTGCAAGGCAAGATGCTGGTCTAAATTATGAGCTTTTTGGGAATCGATATTAATCGTAGGTATTTGTTTTGCTATGATTTGATTTAGCTCTCGCGCTTTTTGAGGATCGATATAAATAACCGGTCTTTCGACTTGACGCTCTCCCATTCCAATTTTTATAATTACAAAAAAAAGCTAGCATCTATAAAGTCAGATTCTATTTATTAGCTAGGGCACTTTTTTCCTTGCGGTTAACAAAAATATGTTTCTTGAATAAGTATCCTAGCTTTTCAAAAACTATGGAGTATTACGAGCTATGCAAATTAGACGAAACTGTACCTTCGAAAAAACAGAATCCATTTGCTCCTAAACTTTCATTTAGACTAGAAGTTGCGGGCACCTCTGAGTCAGGAAAGACAAAGATGGTAGTACATCAGCTCCTAGGAAGTAAATATCCAAAAGTATATCCATGGATGTCTGGTGAAAAACGTGGTCATAAAATACCAAAAGGCGGAAGCAAAAATTTTGGTGAAAGATATATTCCGTGTAATGATCTAATTGTTGTTGCGCAACACCAAGATGAGCTATGGGAAGTAGTACAATGTTTTTATGAATTTATAGCCATGGATAAGCAAGCTCCATGGTATGAAAATGTGAGATTCAAGCTAATCGCACCTGAAGATCTATCTGATATTTCATCTTTCAAAAGAACTGGCCGATCTACTGTTATAGTCTTTGATGATCTTGCCGGGAAACCTTTGGCAACTCAGCTAAAAATTGTTCTTTTCTTTAGATCAGGCAGACATGAAGGAATTAGCTCAATTTATATTGCCCAGCATTTCTATGAAATCCATCAAAATATACGCAGAAATTTTAAATATATTTCGCTGCATCGTGGATGTGGAACATTAGATAGTATAAAACGAATTCTTAAAGATATGTATGATGATTATGAGCCTCTAGCAAAAAAAGTTTATGAAGTGATAAAAAAACATTTCGTGGTTATTGATATCCAAAGACCATCTGATGACCCCTTATCAATTAGATTTAGATGGGACAAACCTTTAAAGGATTGGCAAAATGATTGAATTCAGGATGATTCGTGCTTTGTGGCCTCATCTATATCCATAAGGTAAAGTTTCATAGGGGGTAGTCCTGTCTTTTGGTTCTTCTGCGTATCAGATTGGAAACCCATAACTTTTATTTCTATAGTCTGAATAAAAAGTTTCTTTCTTTTTGGTTGGATGAAAATATCACCTGTATATAAGCCATATAATTAATATTACTGTAAAGGCAAGAATAATAAAGAAGAATATAAGTGGGATTATTTTCTGATCATTAACTAAAGTATTACTATTACCTCCTAACGCAATAACAGGTACGGCTGGAATACTATCATAATCTCCTTTTCCATCAGGTTCGCACACTGAGTAGTGTGAAGGAAAATGGGGTATCTCTTCTACTACTTCATCATGCTTATAATCATTAGATGATGAGACTGGGTCCGCTTCTGCACTACCTATTTTTGAATCATGAATTATCTGATGTGGTTGCGNGTTCATATCAAATTAATCGGCAACCATATGATGGTCTTGGTTTTGGAGATAAAGGTACGCCAGAGCTTCCACCATATAGGCCGAAAACAGATAATGATATTCAGGAACTCTTTGATTCTATAGGGCAAGACAAATAATACTTCAGCTCAGATCGTTATTCAACTAAGTCTTGACCATATCTGATTCTGTTTTAGTTTTTTTACTTTCGCGCCAGGCATGGTCATAAATTCCACCATGTGTGCTACAGATTCCAGTATCGGAATAGGTTCCCATCTTACAAACAGGGCATATTGTTCTAGGACGGGCATAAAAATGTCTGGAACATCCTAATTCGCTCATGCACCCTTTTCCACAAATCGAACCATCTCTCTTGATATATTGGCAGATAAAACGACCCATACGAGGTAATTTTGATACTAATAATCTCAAAACTTCATCTTCACTTTTATTATAGATATTTAAAATTCCTTTGCTTTAGCGGGTCAGCTTAGTAACCGCGTCTTCGGCCAAAGTTACAAACCCTACTCACTCTTTTTGCGACTCTCTAGCCAGTTTTTCTTATACATCATACGAAAGCCAGTTCGAGAATGGATTGGCCCATTATAGGATGCACACATTTTATTTGGTGGAGACTTATAGTGTCTGACACACCCGCCCTCGCGAAAGTATCTTTTCCCGCCGATAGACCCATCATCTTTCTTATTTAGGCAAGGCCAAGTTGGGTAATTCTCGTCCTCCGAATCAGATATGTATTCACCAAAGAGACCAAAGGGCATAGTACTTCTTTCTGGAAAAGTTTTTAAGATTAATATACGTTAAACTTATCTTCATTTTTATTATAGATATTCAAAAATATATTATGCCAGTCTGGGAAGAGCCTTAATGGCAGAGCATAAGCTATATCATTTTTTTTTTCGCTCCTAGTCAAGAGCCATCTCTGTTATTTTTCCTTTTCGAAGAAGTATAGCTCTGAGGGAATTTTTCGAATTGAATTTTTTCTCACATAATATAAGTAGAAGAAACAACTGAAGTCTACTTATATCAACATGTCTACTGTAGAACCCACCCAAAAGACCCGGAAAGCGAAAACTAATAAATTTGTTTTGATTCTAGAACAGTTCTTAGAAATATATAACTTATCCGCAGAGTCCAGCCCAGAGCAATTAAGCGAACATGCCCTGAACTTAATGCTTTACTTCCAGATTGGAAGGCCCGTAAGTGCGTTAAGGAAGCCCTTGCGAGAGGCACTGAAAAGAGAAGTGCATTTAGCAAAGAGCAGAAAGAGGCTCTCGTGCCAGATCAGAGAAATATAATATATTCAGTCAGGAAAAGGGCTCAAGAAGTCACTAAAAGTGAAGATAAGTGGGATATTTTTATTAATACTTTAGATTTGGGACCAAAAGGAAGTAAGGATGGAGTAATTGATGATAAGGAAATGGTTGCTTCTAGCTCAAACCAATCACGATTTCGTAAGTATTTAGCAGAATACGGGGCCGATCGTGAACTTATTGATCGCTATGCCAAAGATTCAAAGACCACTACAGCTTCCAATAAAATCCAGCAAGAGCGGACTGAGAAGCGCTTGGCTAATCCAGGTAGAACTCCAGAACATTTCACCTTTGAGAAAGTGCATAGGAGACTCCAGAATATCGATACTTCTAAAATTCCCTCTATGCAGGATCTCGCGGATGTGATAGTGATGCTGAGCATGAGGCCTGCTGAAGTATCATCTCTCCAGATTATTAATTACAAACCAGATTCCGAAGATCCGCCAGCGTGGTATAAAGCTGGTTATTCTTGGTATTGCACTGGATGTCGCAAACAGAGAGATAAACCGATGCCTATGCGCTTACTCTCTATGGAAAAGGATCAAGAACGTGCTAGGGAATTACTTACCTGGATTCAAGACGCTATTAAGGCTGGGAAGTTGCGTGATCCAGTTTATACTGAAACTGAAAAGCGTAATAATGTGCCATTTGCCAAATTCATAAAGAGTTTAAAAACTAATCAGGACGAAGATGAGATTACCCCCGAGCTTCTAAGAAAAATAGGAGCTAAACACGCCTCGATGATTCATGCCAGTCCAAATAAAACCCCTCAACATCTCGACAATCTTTCAGAAATCGCATTAAGACATAAAATTAACCGTCTTGATGCAGGAAAAAATTACGCTTTGGGTGATCCAAAATCAAAGAAGGAGCCCAAATCTGAACCAGAGACAGGTGATGGTCCAAACCCCCAAACACAGGCTTCTTCACCTGCATCTCAGTCTAGAAATAACGATCCAAAAAAGTCTCAGACTATGGATATGGATTCAATGTTAGCAGAAATCGATGCAATGTTAGCTGAAATTCGGAAATAGACGAGCCATACACAGCGCCTTCGGCCAGATTGTGCGATAAATATTCAGTTTATTTTTTTCAGATATATAAAAATGTTAAGAAGTGATATAGATGAAATGCCAGGTTGATTAATCAGCCCTCCCTTATTTCTCATATTTGTTCAGAAAAAGAATAGATTAATTGAATCGGACAAACTATCTGGTAATGGCTAAAAAATCAAGAAATAACAGGCGCAAGACAATGGGTAAGTTTACTACTAATCCCACACAATATTTGCCCCTATGCAATCCAGCCAAATATGAGCACACATATGATAGGGCAACCGGCTTTATCACTGTCAAGAATAAAAGACAGGATAGGATTGTAGGCGTGTTCGATTATCCCGAGCTGAGTGAATATCTGGGAGTTCGATCCAACTAGTCCGGAGCAGTGATCACTTCGCTCGAAAGAAGAATTTGCTGGGCCACTCCTGTGCGACAGAAAAATAAGTGGATCATCAGTCAGGTCATGTGCAACATAATTTTCACATATACTGAAAAGAAGCTATGCACGCTAACAGTACTTTATTTTTTATTAAGTATAATTGATCTACAATATTAGCAAAATGTTTGATGACGCGGATGAGGCCTATAATGAATTTATCAAAGAATATGGGGAAAGGTATGAATGGGGCAATGAAGGAATTCCCGAATTTACACCAGAGTGGGAAGACTGGGAAGATCTTTTTTGCGAAATCAAAATCTATTGGAAGACAAAGGCAATTAGGCATTGGAAAGAAAAAATACTTAAGAAATTTGTATATAGTCTGCCCGGCATAAGAAATCCAGCATCATTATTCCATGTATTCATACAATCCAATGCTTTTTACCTCCCACAAATTTTAAGCCTAATAGAATTACCGTATAGTGCCGAGGAACTTCGATGGGAAATATGGCCGGATGGTAAAGATACAGATGAGATCAAGGTAGAAAATAATGCAGATGAGGTTGATAAGTTCCGGTGTGGATCATTGCTTCAAGATGAAGACTCAATAGTGGATTATTACTCGAAGATAAAGAGATGTAACGATGTTATCAAACTCTGTAAAAATCATCTTAAAGAAGTATTCATTAAAGGGTTAACGCCCAAAAATAAGCATTTCGCTTTAATGGATTTTGAATATATTTTTCCACCAGATTTACCTCTTGATGTATTGGTAATAATGCTTATTCAAGTAGAAAAAGGTACAACGTCTAAACTACTCTTGCAAGCATGCTTAGACTTTATATCACAACAGCAAAGATTTGCTATTTATAAGTCCCCAATCGGTACATACAAGATTCTCGACCGGAAGAGGAAAATGGATGATAACCGTAAACCGTCTTACATTTAGGTAAATTTAGGTAATATCAGTCCTAGTATTGTTAATCGGCTTGGATTTTTTTAAAAATTAAAAAATTTTTCGAAGCATTTTGCGATAATAGTTTTCGTGCCGGATTAACAACACTAATCAGTCCGGAGCAGTGATCATCAGCTCGGAAGATTTTGCTGAGCCACAAATTGTGCGACAAAATAAGTGGATCATCAGTCAGGTCTTGTGCGACATATTAATTTTTCCCGAACAAATGTGAGAAAATGTGAAAGGAGGTCTAGTTGCAACACAGGACCAACTCCAAAAGTAAATACTGACGGCAAAAGCATATGTTATGAAAGGCTGAGGGATAAGCAATTTCGAGATCGCCAGGCGTAAAACCAACTATGTCTTTCCGGTAGATCTACATGTGAAAAGGTATGAGAATTCTATTTGCATGTGCCTTCATAGAACTCTTGGCATCATACGACAATGCTAATCACTATTCTTATCTCCTTAACTTCGGCTTGGCGCTCTTTTTCCAGCAAGATATAAAGCATGTAGGAGTATGTGGAAGTTCAGCCAACTTTCCGCAAAAAAAATTAAGGTGCGTATGTGATAGAAGTTATGTATGGGAGCGAAGTGCGACATAAAAAATACTCACTATAGGCTCTTAAATTTAGGAAATTCGCTACACAATGACCGATAACAATGATAGGGATGGTATTGATATCACTCTCAATTGTCTTATCGTTCCCATAGGGAACCTCTTCGATCTTCCAAGCAACCAAGTAGATCAAGCAATTACAATCAACACAGGTCGAACGGTTGGCGGACTTGAAATTGCAATTCGTAACCGGTTAAACCAGTTAGGCCTGTTGGGGGTACAATTTTCTAATCTTTCTCTAAGTATTCGTCAAATCCATCCCGGAACAGTTAGCGAAAGACCAATGAACTCTCAAGCCTATATTTCTGTTTTTTTTAATGATCAATTTCAACCTCGAGCGGGTCACTTCCATGTCACCGTATATTCTCCATAATTTTAGTGTTATGTAGCGCTATAGTCGCAATTTTTATGTATTGTAAGCCGGCTTCCGGCAACGTTTTTATTTCATAAATAAAGTATTTTTATCGAACGTTATGAGAAACGGGTCACGTCTAATGAAATGGGGTGCGAACCCGATCACTATGTAATATCGGACTATAAATCTAACCAATCTAGCCTATATAAAAAAGCGTAGCACTATATCAGGTGATAACTGATAAGTGAGAAGAGTCTTCACAGTTAGGGAGGCGCAGTGATTAGGCGTTCGTTGCACCATGCAATTGCTGATCATACGGCAGGCTTGTGAAACAGAATAATTTCTCACATATAGTGCTCACTCAGTATTTTTTTTCACAAATAAAATTCTTTTTACTCTTGTCCTCATATACCGCACTTTGAGCCAATAACATTTCGCAAAAAATACTATATAAGTCGGAAATATGTCTATCACTTTATTCTGTCTCGTTAAAGGAAATACAACCGCGAACGCTTTCTCTGTTAAAATAAACAGGGACGAGCCTATTAGTGAACTCAAGGACGCTATTAAGGCAAAAAAGTCACCAGAGTTCGACAATTTTCCTGCAGACAGGCTCAGGCTATGGAAAAAGGAAATTCCTAACGATCAGGACGATCTCTTAAGCAATCTCATTCTCAATGACGAACCCGAGCTCCTTGCAACAAGAGAAATTGGAGACTACTGGACTGAGAAACCGCCTAAGAGGCATATCCATGTTATTGTAAAATTGCCCCGTAAGTGTCTGGAGTGTCTGGTATAGTCTAATTTTTCGTCATTTGCCCTTGTAATATTAACACGCATTCGTTTCCAGTTCTCAGCTTGGAAGAGGCGTTGTCGTGTATTCCACCACCCATAACATATTCTCCGGACTGCGTTACCTCGAAGACCACTACTAAGGCTGTAGGTGACCCGCCGGCAAGTGTGCAACTTTGGGGAGACTTTTTCGAGCAAGTGAACAGCTTTCATTTCGACCAACAGCCGATATTCGAGAGGCCGAGATTTAATGATAGATTTGCTGTGGTCGATGAAGAGGATGTTCGTAATGCCATAAATGTTAATATTTGTATGATATTGAATGATCTTACAGGACCAGACTACGTATATTCAAGGAAATCTACTGACACTCCCGGCATACCAGATTTCAACTGTCATCTCGTGGGTTCATTGATCTTGGTGATGGAAGCTAAAAGAAAACATGTTTTAGAAGATATGGGGGAACAAACATTTCCCGAATTTTATCAGACGAGTAAAGGCAAGGATGTAGTTCAACAAATCTATAATTATATGGGAGGAAACGAACTTAGATATGGTATTCTCTCCACCTATGATAATCACTGGTTTCTACTCCGAGAGCATACAGAGCTCAGGATCTCAAAAACCCTCCCACTTCAATCTGAAACTCCACCTGTACTCAAGGCATATGCTTATCTAACTCGACGGGCGAAAGAGAATCCCAAGTCTCCTAAACCTCAAGTACTAGTGCCGGCTCATGGAGACAATAATTCACGTAATCTTCGGTCACATTCGAAATCGACTTCCAGCTCCTCAATAGATCAACAATCAACTTCCGGCACTTTTGCAAATCAACAATCGTCTTCTAACATCCCAGTAAACCAGCAAAAGTTTAGCTTCGCGGACTTCAAGTTTAAGGGCATACTAGGTGAAGGACGAAGTGGTAAAACACTCCTTTGCGAGTTTCGTGGCGATACGATTGCTTTGAAGAGCGTAGACTTGTCGAAGGCTCCATCGTATGTTCTGAAAGAAATGCAGAAGGAAGTAGAGATTTACAAGGAACTCGCTGATATCCAAGGCAAGTATATCCCGAAGTTGGTCTGTTATGGATATTATGGAGGAGGTATGAGCTTCGTTATCGGCATGACTATTGTCGGCACTTCGTTGAGCGACCAAAAAATAAAGAAACAGCAAAAGACAAGGGCTATTAAGGGATTAGAAGCGATCCACAAGCATGGCATCCTCCACAATGACATTCGGGAGGAAAACATCTTAATTAACGATGACGGTGGCGTCTATCTGATTGACTTCGGTATGGCAAGTCGGGAGGACACAAAAAAGAAGAGAAAGCTTTTCGAGGAGGAACAGCTCAAATACTCTAACTTGCTAGATAGATATAATACGTAAGATTTATTATTTCGCAAATTCCTATTTCTTGCAATCTTGCGAAGCGCCTGCGAAGCGCCTTAATGGCTAACGGCTAATTTTTTATAATTAATAATCATGTATTTTACAGACATTTCGTAAAGAAGGAGGGGCGAATTTCCAAGTCACGTAAATGTCAGGTGGTTAGTTAGACTGTAGGGATATACATTAGACATTTAGTATAGAAGCGTCATGTATCACGGGCAAAGTCCCGAACATTTGTATTTATTTTTAGCATGTATTAATAAAAATTTTCTTGGCATTTTCCGAGACCGCGCGGTCCCGGAAATCTGGTGACTTTATAACCTATTTCTCAATGACACAGTTTCTATATAATTATATATACTAACTATTTTTTGAATATTTCACTTCTTATATAAAATTTATCAATAATGTCATCCGAGCTTGAAGTATTGAAACAGCGTATCTTTGAACTTGAGGCTAAGAATGCCGAGCTTGAAGCCGAAAAAGCTGAACTTTTAAAGCGGATTATGGAGGAGAATACTAGACGTGATGTTAGAGTTGAGGAACTGGAGCAAAAAAATAAGGAGCTTGAGACCAGACTTGCGATAGTGGAACAGGCTTCCTTACCAGTGGAAGAGCAGACGTATAATGATAATCCTTCTGACAATAGTACATCTAACTTTAATTCAGTTACAGAGTATCATGAGAAACCATTGGTGGATGTGGAAACAGATAATTCCTTTCCTGAAGAGGTTTGCTATAATAAACAAGAACCGTTGGAAGAGAAAGATATGGATAGTTTCTTGCTTGAGGCTCATAAGAAAATCGTTAGTGATGAGATAAGGCAGAGAAAGCGAGAGGAGAAACTTCAACGTGAATCGACAGTTGCCAGCCCATCATACAACTCTGAAAAAGATGATCGGGTGATTTCGGAAATTTCGGGAGAGTTCGAAAAAACCGTTCCCTCAGGGAACGATCAGAGTCATGTGACTTCAGGTGAACCGGATCTTCTATCTGTGGAGCAAGACGATGACATGATTCAAGAGGAATCGCTTGATGAAAATCAAATCGTAGAACAAGGCCTAATACATGAATTATGTTCATCCATATTACCTGAAGATAATGTCAGCTCTACCGAAATCATCAGCTCTTGCGTTAGTTTAGAGAATTTGATTTCGGGTTCTGCCCAGCACTTATCTTATTTATTTGAAACAGCAATAAAATCCAGTCAGCAGGAAATATTAGACTGGTACAATTATTCCTTTGAATTTGAGAGCAAGGTTGATGCTCTTATGGCTGATGGTAGAATTAAGGATAAAACGGCAAGATCAACGATTTACAAGGAAATGAAACCATTTCTCCCTACTAAAATCACACAAGCTAACTTGCGCAAGAAAACTCATAGGGCTAGAAAACATTTTATGTTATTTGGAAAAAATGGGATTGGACTAGATAAAATTAAGCTAGTCTCATATAGCGCAACTGAGATTTCAAAACTGACTAATGCACAAATCCAAAATGTCATAGATCAAGTAAAAAAATATACTAGTGATCATCAGAGTCATATGACTTTAATAAAAACCGTTCCCTCAGGGAACGATCAGATTAAGGCTGAGGTAAGTACATCAGCAAATGTATTATCTGTATCTTCCTCCAGTCAATCTAAGCCAACTTATGACCGATCCTATTTTTGCAACAAGACATTGGATCAATATCCAAATTTATATAGAGAATTTAGTAGTGAAAATTTCGATTATTATGGTATTACCGATGAGAAATTATGTCCATTATGCAAGTTAGAGCATGGTGATGAGGAAAGCATAGAAGGTACATATAAAGCTGGATCTTATTTTATTAAATGTGAACAGCGCGAAATTGAGATGGTTGCATAGTCAGGTCACTTTGTGACTACATTTGCCAACTTATTTATTGTGATATTTTTTTACACATGTCAACTATTACCTAATTAGATTGATTTGCAATTATAAAAAAAGGCAACATGACCAAGTCCGATAAAATATTAACTCCCGAATACCTGGATTTGGCATGCCAAATTAACTGGGTTACCAAGCATTTTGACGGATAAGATTCGGTCCAGCTTATACAAAAAATATAAAAAAGAAACTGGGCATGAGCCATGGCAATTATCAGAAGTACATGCATCGGAAGTCATAAATTCGAAGCCAGAAAACAAAGTATCCTATTTATCTTCTTCTGAGCAATGTGAAGAAAAAGGGCCTATCACCTTCGAAGCCAGACCCGATCCAGAATTAATTATCAAATCCGTCTTAGAGCATTTCACATACTTGAAATTCCGAAATAGTTTCAGAGGGATTGATAATTATAATTTTGCATCACCTCAGCCGTTGAGCTCACCATGCCCTATTTGTGATGGAAAACATGGGAATTATGGATTACATGGCTCATGGTACTGCGAAAATGGGAATCAGTTCCCTTATGATCCTGAATTAGCGAAGTTGCTATCTCAAGATAAGTTGGAATATTGTCTTACCTGCAACACTTCAAGCAATAAACTCAAGTTCGCGATTGTGGCTTAGACCGGAGGAATTATGAAGAAAAAATATTCGTATATTATTTCGTTTCTTTTTTTTCGAATCTCGTGGGTGGCTTATGCAAAAGAAACTGGAATCGGATGCGCAGTTGATATTGGGAAAATTCTTGCCGAGATTTTTCTGAGTACGTCATTGAAATTAAAGTTTATCATATGATTAACCGGTAGATCCCGCTTCTATTGGTTGGAAGTGTGAAGAGTCTTCACGATTATCATATGACATAGCATGTATCGTGGATACGTCTCCTTTGCCTCAAGCTAGAATAGAGAAATATCGTTCGAAAAAATAATCGTGTATAATAGTCTACAATCATAGAATGGCATCATATACCCAGGGCTAGTCCCGCACCATGTAATTTATCTCAGCTCAATGTATTGCAAATAAAAAACGTTTAGGGCACTAACGGAAATCTGGATCGGCAAATTAAAATTGCCAGCGAAGATCCAGGGACTTTTATTCTCAAACTTTCTCGCATATTCTCAAAATTATTACGTATATTATTGTAAAAGGACTCCTTGATGATCTTTACATATGGGTAGCGTTAAATTCTTTTATTGTTAAATTTAAGGAGAGTCCGTTGATCAGATTTTCGTGATGCGATCATATTAACGTAATTTCCCCAAAAGCGTATAATAAAATCAATCCTGCAAATATTATAAAAAGGTGATGTCCTGGTTAGTGAACCCTTTTATCCGCCTTATGCAAGTAAAACGAAAAAATCAAGCAAAATAATAAAACTTACATCATCAATATTATCAAACTAACTCCTATATTCCGCAAAGTAATAACAAAGTAAGTTGGTTTATTGCTCGGCTAGTTTCTCTAAACATGTCATCACGATGTTAATCGGGTTTCCCGCCTCTTAGATGTTCCAAAATAAACCAGACATATTACTTCCTCCGGTCTTCTTGTTATATATCGGCATTTTGATCTTCGCCGAGAAAATCACTGACCATCATCACGCGTACAATAGACGCTGTGAAATTGCTCACATGAATCTCGTCACACGCAACGGCACAGCAAAAGTCTGGCGTAGTATATCAAATGGCACAAGCATCTTCACGTGCCGAATTCTTGAAACTTTGCGCAGTATCGTTCTGGCGATAACGCAGAAAAAATTAGGCAATCAATCCTTGTATATGAGGCGGAATGGAGTTATGTGAAAATGAAGCATAGCGGTAAGTGTGAATCGGAATATTGCATTGTTTATTTACCTCGGTTGCTAATCTCCGGAATTTATGCTATAGGTTCGAAATTTCTTAATCCCAGAGAAGTTTTCTTTCGAGAAATAATGTTTTGTGTATTTAGGAGAGATATAGATAGACAAAAATTCTGTAAATATGGGTGGAATAATTTATTTCGGAAATCTAGTATAGTAAAAGGGTGTGGGAGTGAGAATCACATAATTAGCAATAAAAGTATAAACAAAATTAGTTATAGATACTTTTCGTAAATGTAAGAGAGTAAAGAAATAACTTGATGCTGGGATTCGCATTAAATGGCCTAGGATCCGCGTACTCCCTCCCTCCTTGATAGCATCATATGTTTCATTTGCTTCTCTAACATTTTAGCTATGTATCTGAAAAATCAATAATAAAGTTTCGGAAATTTGCATTGAAAATTTTTCTTGGCAAAAGTGATCGTACGTACTATGTAATTCACGTGATGTTCATTTTTTATATATGGACGCGTGTTAAGTTCATCAGTATCAGTTAACTCGCGTTTCATTTTTCAAACACTAACTCAAACTTTCACAATTGATCATTTTTTTTTCTCTACTTAACGTTTTTTGCTTCTGCTTTCAGAAATTTTCGCACAATGTCCGTCACTCAAATAGATCTGTTGATGAATTCATACTTTGAGCGTACACCTACTATAGAGTGGTCATACGTAGGATTCCTTGAGGCAATGAAACCTTACTTAAATTCAGTTCAGGGTCCGCAGGACAAGCAAAAGTCCGTATGGCGAAAACGGTTTCTAACCCTTCTAACTAATATTCTTGTTGATGAAGAGGATCAAAAGACACAAAACGATAATAGTAAAACACGATTTGAAACAGCAACTTATCTGGTTCAACAGGTTAGCCAGCTTTCTACTTATTTAAACCTTATTTCTGAATCATCAAGTGCGACTTCTGGACGGTGTCGTCCTTCTAGGAGTACAGGGTGTCGTTCCCTAGCACATTTCACGAGCTTCTCCACTGTTGCACAGCCCAGGGCGGTGTCGTCCTCCTGTGGGTATGGGGTGTCGTTCCCCAGTGTGACAAGTGTGGGGTGTCGTTCCCCTAGAGAGCTCCTGATCATATATGGCATATACTACGCTTTTGATTTATATTTACTAACTGTAAGTATCCTTAGCAACATCCACCTGAAGCTACGAGATTTTTGGAAAATGTTGATTTAGATAGACAGCTGGTGACGAAAAAGGTGTGTATAGATCTTCTTTGAAGTATACAATGATTTGATTTTAACGTGTTCACTTGTCAAATTCTAGGATATCTTTGATAAAAAATCGCAAATAGAAGCATGGGATGTGCTCTGCATTTCTCGTAGTCAGAAAGCTGGCGAATACGTTAATGAAGTTAAGTCACGCATAATGAACCAAGCTGAGATGGCAAGAGATGAAGAAGCGGGTACATCATCTGGACATAAGCATACCGAAGGAGCTACAATTCCAGCAAAAAAGGTGAGATTAAGTGACTCTATTAACGTATTAATTCTTATGTTCCCAAAGATTTCTAATTTTTCTGTCCATTAAAGTCAGCGTTGGAAGATCCAAAAAAAGAAAATTCCAAAAAACGACCAGCCGAAGAAGCTCCATCAATCATCACACCTGCCCCCAACCTTCGCGGTCGTTCTCCCCCTCCATCCTATAAAAGTGGAGATAATTCTTTTGACGCCGAAGCATCAACTCCCTCTCCAGTAATGTTTCTTCGTTTTGTTTGCCATATGATGTGATAAGTTCGTTTCTAATCTGCATTGCTCTTCAAAGTCAAACGACCATGACGTGTCGGATACAGGGATTCATGAAGACGAAGATGAAAATCCTTTCATCACAAAGAATGAAGAGGGATCAAGGAACAATAAGGTTATTATTAATCGGTATTAAGTAAAGAATTTTTATTCATAAAACGTCCTTAATATAATCTTTTTATTAATTAATTCGATTTCTAATTATAGTTTAAGACAATTCTATCATGGCAACATGCCATAAACCGTATTGATATAAATGATGCTTCTACAAATGACGTAAATATCGAGAAGTATTATGAATTTATCATCACTTTTCCCGATATAGTAATAATCTTTTCTTGCCTATAGTGGGTGGCAGATGGTTACAACATTTCTCTTGATTTCCGTGAATTTCAATTAACATCGATAAACCTATTAGAAACCAATCAAACTTTTTCGTACGCAAAAGATATAGATCGGATACTGTAAGTGTTTGTTATGCAAACAAATCAATTTCAATATCTAATTTTTGTATATGTCTGCAGGTGTCTATCGTCTATAATGTATTGTAATGAAGTCAAGCCAGAATTTGTAACATGTTCCGAAAAAGTATGGAATAAAATTCGGCCAAGACCCTTAGTTCCAAAGATGTTGCCATCTGTCGTGCATTTAATAATAATTGAATATAATATGGTAAGTTTTTCATCAATTCTAACAAATGATCGGCAAAATTATTAATTTGTTATATTTTGTGATTAGTTTTTAAACGACAAACAGTTATTGGACATAAAATGGCATGAAAATTGGGTTAAATGGAGTACATTATCAACAGACGAGGATAAATCCATCTTCGATTGTGCACAAGAAGTCACGAAAAATTTGTAAGTTCTAATTATTGAGAACATCTTTGTACGTTGTTGATATTTACTGTATGTATGTTGCTTTTCAGTTTTACATATCTGTCTTCAGTGAGTTTCGATGAGGATAAAAAACTGGACGAAGATACCTTCGTTCACCGATATTGTCATAGAATTCTCGAAGAAATTTTTAGTAAAGATGATTTTTCATTGATCTGGTAAGTTCCATGTAAAATTATTACAATACACTATACAGTATATCAACCTATGCTCATATTTTTTGTTATCGGAACAAAGGGCAAATGGAGAGTCCGAAAGTTCGAAAGAAAGACGAATACTAGATGGGAATAATCATGGGAGGAAGCCAGATTTTCGTGTACTCTAGAGCTTGGACTCGCACTCATGTAACTCGAGTTGACTCGAGTTGAACTCGCACTCGAGTTAGAAATTTCTTGACTCGAGTCAACCGGGATCACGTGGTTTATAGTGCCGGCTGAACCCTATTTGTAATTCCTGCCGGCACTATGACTATAACAGTCTGGGTAAAATTATGGGTAAGTTTTTTGGCCCGCACTTTAACTTTGACTCAAATTAACTCGAGTTAACTCGAGTCCTGACTCGAGTCCTAGACTCGAGTACTCTTCGAGTCAAAAAAATTCTTGACTCGTTTTACTCGAGTTGACTCATCCTAACTCGAGTCCAAGCTCTAGTGTACTCTCAAAGATAGATGACGTAAATATGGAATTTTTATTTGGCGAGATTAAACCTCCGAGCAATTCAACTTCCATAAATAAAGGTATCATAAAGTTGGCAGAATTCACAAAAGGATCGTTAGATCTTATTATTAATAGTTATGGTTATGTTGACGGTCTGGAAACATATGGAGTATTGATTTATGGTAAGTTATCGATCACTATTGTAACTTTATGATGTTTTAATGCCGAGCTAATTAGATTTAAATCCAATAGGAAACGAAATCAAGATATTTAGCATGGATTTAACTTTTGACGGTTTATACCGTTATAATCAATTATCAAAAATCTTGTTGCCAACGGAAAATGCGAATTTCTTAAATATAATTACTGTAATATCTACCTTTTATTCTTTATTGGTAAGAGTCTTACTTTATAGTTCAAACAAGTTGCTTTGCTGTTTAATCACTAATTATTTTTATTATGTAGGAAAGGATAAGATCCACCATTGTAACTATGAATTCATCTCAACCATCATCATCCTCTGGTCACTTGTATTGTCGAAAGTCGAATTCGTCACCTAGAAAAATTCGTGTACCGATAGTTAGAGTTTAGTTATGTTCACACAAATTCAAATGTTGACTTGAAATTAACAGTATTGTGCTTTTATGTTAATGTAATTACTTATAATATTGATGTATGTGTGCGCTATATGTATATTAATAAAAATATTAGCAATATTCACGGTATTATAATATTGTCAGATAAATGCATTGTATTATTTTGGTGATTTTTGCCATTTATCTTTGCAACCTTGTAGTGAATACTGAAATATGTACATCGGAAAAATAAGAATTATGTGGAAATTTCCGTGTTTATTATGTCAAATGCGTACTAACCTACATATTTTTGCACGCGATTTCTCATTTTGATCTGGCTGAGCAATGAAATGAATAGATCAAGGGAGGTGAAATCTGATTGGCCAATCATCTTATGATTTATAGAAACTCGCCAGCGCCTAAAACTCTCCTAGAACTATCGAGGAACTGGCAGGGAGTTAGGGTGATACTGTGATATGATATACGTTGTACCACAAACCAATTTAGCCAAGGCGTTGTGCATATGCATGTAAATATAAAATTAGCATAGTCGAGATATGGCCCTATATAAATCCTCAGTATGCTTATAATCGAATAAAAATGAATCTGATATTTATTAAAGTATACTATTGCTAAATTGGCTAAAATCGCTAAAAACAGTATAAATCAATAAAATCGTTATATTCTGTTATAATCTACCAAAACACTAATATGGATTTAGATAGTAAAGCCTATTCCAAGTTAATTCATGCACACAATAGTATTGGAGGCTCTGAAGAATATATAAGAATTATTGTTGCAATATTGCCTTTAGCAGAAAAACATGATTATGAAACACCAGAAATGTGGTGCTCTCGTATTCGTGATCCATTTAGGAAAATACTAGAAGAGAACTATTCCAGGGGAATCCTTTCTAAAAATGGATATATTACAATGTATGGAAAGCTATATGTAGATGATAAGATTCATAATCGTCTAACCAATTATATATATTGCAGTGTATGTAACTCCTTAGTTTTCATACCTGCAAATAGTCTTTTTGAGGATTGCTATGGAGATAACCACTTGAAGAGATGTATTTCTGGAAATACTATTTCGAATGAACATGCAAGAAGAAATGAAATTCTCCAAACTATTGATAGAAGGGAATTTCAGATCTGGCAATATAAACAATACATATTACAAAAAGAGGCTAAAATTAATCGTCTTCAGCTAGAGCTTTCATCCCAATCTAATCCACATTCAGAAAAGGATAAATTGGCATCGGTATCATATGATATTGATGGAAATTTTACGGCTAGCTATGAAAATTATGCACAATCTAAAGCAAAAGATACTATGCCAAATGCTTCAAATTTCGAGCCAGCTTATATTTCACCTACTAGACAAGAAACGATTTTACCAACTTCTTATCAATCATCAAGTCCTAGCCAAAGGCGCTCAGAGCAAGGGATTACAAGTGAAATATTTATCTCATCTCGGTATGCTAAACAAAATAACTTATTACCATCTATAGACCATCTTAATCAGCCCACATTAAGATTGAGAGATAGTACAAAAATCACATTCGTTTAACGACTGAGAAATATATTAATTATAGACTATTGAAGATTAATATCATTTAGCTAAAAGCGCAATGTATAACTTATACTTTATTTTTTATGCTAAATAATCTGCATACATGATCGCCTAGTAAAATTGGTTGAAGGCGCTATACATTTCATGTATCACCTGCCAAATTTTTCAGATTAGTCCTTAACCCAGATCCTGGTTAAGATCATGCGCTTTCTGAAGATTGATATAAATTGATCCAAGGGGTTCTCCCATTCTCTTTTATAATCACAAAAAAAGAATGTCATTTCACAAATCTCACCCAAGGCAGAGAAGAACATGTGAAGAATATAAAGC